CACAGACCAAAACAAAATCGTTCAAGAAACTAAAAAGTTATGTCGTTTTGAAAAATAACGAACTTTTTGGTCGCGACACATTGAGTGGTGCGCAGTTTATGAGTATGAGTGAGTATGAGTATGGGAACGTATGGCAGGCCCCAAATATATTATCCTCCACTGATCTCCCGGGGTTATTTTACCCCCTTTCCGTTCTCCTGCGTATCCCGCCAAATCACAGCATTACCTGTGTTTGTTGGATCCGAAGTTTTTACGCCGGCTGGTAGATCCACCCTAGGAGGTCGTGGATGACAGTGTCAAAGGTTAAGGCCGCTCCCGGATTTTTGTCAGCCGGGTCGGGCCATACGTCCAGTTTAGGAAGGGTTTTTGGAGGACATTGAACTGACCCAAAACTAAGTACAATCCGGAATCCTCCGCAACCTGGGACTTAGTAATAACCCCATTCAATTGTTATTCATGAATGGGGGTAGAAGTGTTAGTACGCTGCTAGAACCTGTCCTTGTTGGTGTATAAATACACCAACAAGGACAGGTTCTAGCAGCGTACTAACACTTCTACCCCCATTTCTAATCATCTCTGTCCGAGTCAGTATCAGGTTTCTGGTAACCTCTTTAGAATTGTTTGCCCCCCTGTGTGGTACTGAGTCTTGTTTTCCGTACCGAAGTGTTAGCGTCCAAGACACACCGTAAGTGCCCTCTGCCTTGGTGGATATTCCTCCTGCCGAGTGCCGACTACCAACCTTGTATATTCTTTATTTCTTTTATTGTTAAATTAGTGTTTATACCGATTTCATTTAATTTATATCTTTGCATTCTTACTTTTTTTTCCAAATTTAATTTAAAAATATAAATATTAATATACAAAATAGATAAAGCCGGCCCTGTGGTGTACGCATTTTGCTATTGAGAGGATCGCTCTTCTTATCTTCTGTGTTGTTCTTGCATTCCTGAGCTTATTTGGCTATGATTTATGGCTAGTCTTAAATGCATACAATATTAAATATTAACACACAACACTTAATTATGATCTAATTTTTTGTCATCTTGCTTGATTTGGTTTATTTACTCTTACGCCCCTTTCAATTTGTTTAAGCTGTTTATGGTTTGTTTACTCTGAGAAATTGAGGTTGTTATTTTAACTTACGGAAGTGTTATCTTATTATTATTTAAAATTTAGTTTTTGAGACGGTTAAAAAGAAATCTTAGACAAACAGAGTGCTTATATTAGAGATTTTTCATAATTACTTCTGTACCGCTTTATTGAATTCTTTGTACATTTTTGTAGTAGTAAAAATGTATATTCAAACTGTACGAGTTTAATTTAAAGACTGTAGGTATCATCGACTTTTAAATAAACAGTTATGCGCATTGGGCGTATTGAATAATGATGCCGCGAGACGAGACGAGACGAGAAAAGTCCTTCTCTCGTCTCGTCTCGTGCAGCGAGAGAAAATGGGCCTCTCGTCTCGTCGAGAATACTCTTTTCTCGCTCGAGAGTGCCTTTCTCTCGTCTCGTCTCGTTTCTCTCGTGGTAAAAGTACCTAAGTATGAATACAAAAATTATTTGGAATGAAATACGAATTCGTTTATATTTTTTTATATAGAAATTTAAACTGGAAATAAAAAAAAATGTGTGCCAAGACCACTCTAATAAACTAAGACTTTTTACGCCGAAAATGTCGCGCATTTGAATCAAATGGTTGGATCTATGTGGAGTAGTTACATATAGTATAGGTGTTTCTTTTAACTTGAGACAGCTCAATATCTCGTAAAATACGCATTTCACAGAAAAATATCTTTAATAAAAGGTTAATGTGACCAAAGAGGACATTATTTGGTGCTACCGCCAGCGACCCCTACCCCTCCTTAAGGGTGAAACGGGGGGTAACTTTAGAAAGTCAAATGGAATGACCAGATTTTTTTTACAGATTTTGGTAGTACATAAAAAAATGAATAACTTTTATTTAAAACTTTTTTTCAATTTATCAACAGATGGCGCTGTAAATCAAAATTTAAGAAAATTGGGTTTCCTTGTAAAATGTATTATTTGAAACCTTTGAAAAACAAAAATTAACATTAAATCAACAATAGTCGGCTCTGTAAACAATTTATAACAAATTTTCAAAATGTCATCCTTTCATTTCGACACATTTTTGAATGTGGGTAATGAATTCTGGATCCACCTTGTCCTCCAGAGTTGTAGGAATTGCAGCGTAAACTTTTTCTTTCAAGTAACCCCACAGGAACAAGTCTGGCAGATCGTATTCTAGAAAATTCCGGTACTTTTCACCATTTAATGCCGTTCGCCAAAGGTACCGCACCAAACGTTTACCGACCAGGGACGCTGGTGCTCCACTTGGTGTCAAAATGGAAGGACGACATTTTGAACATTTATTAAAAAGTGTTTGTTGATTTAATGTTAATTTTTGTTTTTCTAACGTTTCAAATAATACATTTCACAAGGAAACCCATTTTTCTTAAATTTTGAATTTCAGCGCCATCTGTTGATAAATTGAAAAAAGTTTCAAATAAAAGTTATTCATTTTTTTATGTACTACCAAAATTTGTAAAAAAAAGTTTATCCCATTTGACTCTCCAAAGTTACCCCCCGTTTCACCCTTAAGGAGGGGTAGGGGGTGGCTAGCGGTAGCACCAAAGATTGTGTAAAAGAAAAACCCTGTATCGGCGCAGTAGTTTTTAATGGATCAAATCATTTGATCCATCCATCTGAAAACTACTGCTCATATAATATATTATGATGTAACTACTCCACATAGCTCCAACCATCTTGTAACTACTGCGCATGTCCGTCATTTTGAATCCGCAATTTTGTTTTTTTTAATGGATATCAAATTCTGAATCAGGGACCCCATAAATATCTGAATACTAAATTTTACCCAAACCATTAAAGCCGAACGACAAATTTTCGTCATATTGGATCAGCCATTTTATTAAAAAAAAATGGATCTCGATTTATAATCAGGCCCTCAAAAACCACATGTTGTTGATAAGTTTATTGAATAAGCAATGCTTATTAAGCATACGGTTTTTTTTTAATAGTATAAGGAGTGCCATAGATGTGCTTATACAGGTAAATTTTAAAAATTATTATTTTATAAGTATTTTTTTCTTGGTTAACGTTAAGTTGTGTTATAAAATTATACAACGTTAACCAGGAATAAATTTTGTTTATTATGAAATCTGAATAATGTTCTCATTGGTCCAAATAAACCAGGAACAAATTTTGTTTATTATGAAATCCGCATAATGTTCTCATTGGTCCAAATAAACATCGTCATTTATGTGCAAAATTATAATTTTTATGAAAAAAAAAATGTTTACTTATTACCGGAATAATCGAGAGAACGAGAGAGATCGAGAGAAACGAGAAATTCTCGAGCGAGAGAGGGCATTCTCTCGTCTCGTCTCGAGCCTTTTTTCGAGAGAAAATCGCCCTCTCGTCTCGTCGAGGCGAGACGAGACGAGAGGCGAGAATCTCTCGTATCGGCGGCATCACTAGTATTGAATGTACCCAAAACTAGATCACTTTTCTCAGTGTAGGGACCTGTTTAATTTCTGAAGCCAGATGACATTCTTGGCAACCTCGCGAATTTGCGAATGTAAACATTTAACGATTAAATTATATCAGAATCGAATTGGTGTTGTTAGGTCATGCAATTAGGAAAATTACTTAGCTGAACTAGTTAGATTCTGCCTTCCTATCCCTAGCGGACAGACCGCGCTCCTTGGTGATCAGGGATTTCATCGGAGTGACCCAAAATTATCACTCACTCTCACACAAACCTCCACGACGATACTGCACTTTGTGACTTAGCCTAAGACCACCCGCACTTTTCGAACTTAGTATTATTTCTTTTCTTTTAGCACTTGGATCCGTTTTCACGTGCAGAATCGACATTGATTCCTTTTTATTACTTGAACTTTAGCGGCGACGGCACCTAGGCTCTGATCAGGGCACCCTGGCTCTGATTTCGCACTTACGTTGCCTAATAAACTTAAATGCGCTGAGTGCGCTTTACTTTTGAGAAGAGATCTCGCGCGCGTCCTCTCTCTACGGTGCGTCAAGTGGTACTGAGTGGTGCGCAGTTTATATCAATTTTTTTAAAATATAAGGGCTAGTGTAGGAATTGTACGTGATTTTTTAAGTAATTGTCGGACTGACTAGGACGAAAAAGTATATGTAGTTATTTTTAAGTCGTATGTGGGACAAAAACATACATGGTGAGTCACCATTGGTGACCCATTTGTTTGCGACTCACCGCTGTAAACTCTTTATTTATTGTGCGATTTTAACCGAAATTTTTAAGAATTCATATTAGTGATTTTTTTTAAACAAAATCTAAGCACGCACAGGATTCACCACCCCTCAAAACGACCCTTACTAAATTTGATTGAAAAATTTTAAGAAAAAAAAAGTACAATAATAACTACAAAAATTTATTTTGTCAAGTTATCCATAAAAAAAGCATTGAAATAAAATTAAACTAATAGTAACATGGTACTATTACTATAAGTTTAATTTTATTTCAATATTTTTTTCATGGATAACTTGACCAAATAAATTTTTGTAGATATTGTGCATTTTTTTCTTAAAATTTTTCAATAAAATTTAGTATAGGCTCGTTTTGAGGGGTGTTGAATCCAGTGCCGTGCTTAGATTTTGTTTTAAAAAAATCGCTAATATGAATTCTTAACAATTTACTCTTAAAACCTGACATTGTAGGCCTTGTATTTTGTATTAATATGACGTCTTTTGCTCCAAAAGTACAGTTTATCAAGATCAACACTTTAAAACAAATCCGGTTAAAATCGCACAATAAATAAAGATTTTACAGGGGTGAGTCGCAAACAAATGGGTCACACTGTATAACCTTGTGTTGAGTAGACACTACTTTGAATTTAAAAATTCAGTAGGTACTTATTATTAAATGAAGGTATATACAAAATATACCCATGTTTTTTTATTCTTCATAATTTTAGATTTAAAATCAATGATAATGATAAAGAAAGTGACAGTCCTGGAGATAAAAGTAAAGATTTCACTTGCAATATTAAGGAGGAAGGAATGGACGGTGACTTTTCTGAAGAAGATGGTAAAAATTCAAAGTTACAAAATGAATATAATGAAGAAACAGATGAGAATGAAGAATTGTTTGAGACGAAAATAGAGGTGGAATATCATGGGGTTCAATATGATAACAAATTAGGGTGAGTTATACTTTGTTATTGACATTGGAAATGTATTATGTAATTTTTGTCACAATTTTGTTTTTCTTGTTTACCGACCGCAAATTGTTTTGCTTTCATTCACTTATCTTTGTTAAACTAATAATAATAAAAACATACATTTAGAGTCAAAAACAATTATCAGTAAACTACTAGAATGATTGAAAATTTGACTTTATCACAACATGGCCCTTAAAATAAATTTGAAATTGCTAACTCATAAAGATTGCTGCTAGATTTAAGTTATTATATTTTTGTGTTTAAAGAGTTGACTCCTACATTTGACTCAGTTCTTTTTTATCCTGACCCGGGGTTTGAAAGTCTGCCCCATTTTTATTATTATTATTATTTAGAAAACATTTGATAATATTTTGCGTTTTTTTAAATAATTTTTGCTCATTCAAATTAAAAGTTACTGTATACAATTTTTGCCCACTGTGGTGGTTTATTATGCCTAGAAACTGACTTTGCCGATTTTGTACCTAATTGTTTCAATTTAATTAATAATTTTTCAAAAATTTGTCGGTAGTGCCATAAAGTAACTTGAATTTACTTGTTGACTAATAATTATTGTATTAGTAAAAACTATTAATGTATTTAAGAGATTTAACTGGTTTCTGTAGAAGAAGTATTCATAGTATTCATTTTAGACATAAACCTATTTCATATAGAATATTTTTGAAAATTTAACTTTGTGTGTAAATGTAAAATTAAATTTTGTAGGATCGAAAATGAGGTTATAAATAAAGACATACTGGCAGAAACAGTCCCCCTAAAAACAGAGAACAGTAAGTGTTTTTTTAATTTAAATTTTTCCACAGTCCCTGACAAAAATGGCATACAATTTATATCCTGACTATAAAAAATACAAAAGTAATAATAAAACTTGTCCGAATTTGGGCCTAAAAATTAAAAATAAAAAAAATTGTGACTCAAATTTTATTTCATAATTTAGATGTTACAAAATTATTATTATAGTTTTTTTTAAAGTTGTTGTTTGCAAATCCAAATTTAAATGGATGCATTAAATATTGTAAATGCAAAAATTTCAAAAACTAATCCTCAATTCTACATTTACATTTGCGTAAAAATAGTGAGAAAATTAATATTTTTAATAAAAACATGTTTTTTATGTACCCAGAGCGCCCTCTATAATCCAAATCAAAATTATTAACAAATTTAAATTTCTCGACCCAAAAATACCCTAATCACAAAATTGTAAATAAGTTAATAAGGAAAATCCAAAATTAAATTCAGTTACTATCAACCAAGTTTGGTCAAATCGTAATATTTTTATCCATTTTTAAAAAAAATAAATAAAAGTAAAAAGTAGAGATGGGAATCGGAAAGTTTCCATTTTAAGGAAACTTTCCGTTTTGGAAAGTTTCCAATTGGGAATTTATTTTCATTTTGAAAGTTTCTTTTAAGCTACCGGAAACATTCCTTGGAAACATTCCTTGGAAACTTTCCTTGTTTTTTTCATTTAAATGCTGACCGCTGATTTTCGTTAAGGCCATGATACAAGGCCAAGAAACTTTGAATAAGAATTTAATGTGTGTTAATTTAAAGCAGAAGAAGTATAAATAATGTAAGTTATGTTACATAACCTCAATGAAGCCGGATTATTCAGCATCATCACAAAAAACTTTTTTAAAAAAAGGCAAACAAAATAAAAACAATAAACAAAGTTAAAATCATTCTTACATTTTTGTTGTTCATTTATAGGCATAGCACAATGCCAAGAGAAAAATCTAGTGTTTGGAATTATTACAAAATAGTGCAAAAAAACAAAAATTTTATCAGTCAGAACTGCAATACTATTTTTAGTATCTTTTACTTTTCAATATTCCTATATATTAGTTACTTTGTCCATTTTAATTTTTTTACGTAATATCTAGGATTTATTAGCAGTGAATTTCTAATAGTAAACATTTTATTTTTATTTTGTAGGTTTCAGTATACAATAGGAATATTCCAAAGTAAAAAATACTAAAAATAGTATTGCAGTTACATTCTTATAAACATTTTTTTATTTTTTTTCTTAATAAAATTCGACAAAAAGTTAATGTGGTATATATTTTTGCAAATCCCTGGCATAAAAAAAATATTTTCGCAATAAAAAAATTTTTTTGAAACTTTCGGAAAATTTCGGGAATTTTCGATGGAAAGTTTCCGGGAATTTTCGTCAAATGGGAATTTTCCCATCTCTAGTAAAAAGTCGTGGGAATACAATTTTTTTTTTCAAAAATCAAATTTAAAAAAGAAAAAAAATCAAAATTGTTTTGGGGATTTTCCAGGTTCTAAATGTCAAAATGCCGACAAAGTATAGATAACCGTGAAGTCTAAATATAGGTATTATATGTAATAAATATTTAGTCTTCATAATTATAACTGAAAAATTTAACCTTAAAATTGTAAAATTAAGAGAAGGCATAATCAAAGATAACTTTTTTGGGCATAGTCAACACCCTACACTAATAAATACACTTTTTTTTTAGAAAGTCTTGAGGAACAGTGTTTTAAACCAAAAGGAAAAGTTAGCAAAGAAAAGATGTTTAAATGTGGGATTTGTTTGAAGAAATATCAAACAAAGGGGGGTTTGTATGCACATAAAAAGTGTGTTCATGAAAAAGAACAACAGGAGCTATTTAAATGTGGAAAGTGTGAATATCAAACTTCAAAAAAAGGTCGTCTTAGCGATCATTTAAAAATTCATAACAAAAAAAAATATTTCAAATGCCATTTTTGTCAATATATGGCTGCTGAATTGAAGACTTTAAATGCACACGTTTTGAGTAGGCATAAATTCGAAAACAAAGGAGAGAATAAAATAAAAATAACAAGCAAAATACACGAGTGCACCAATTGTTCATATTCAACTGTTAGAAAAACACACTATGATAGACATGTAAAAGTTTGTTTGAAATTAAAAAATGTGCAATGGCAAGAATGTCACCTTTGCCACTATAGAACTATTCATCAAAGTTATCTTACAGGGCATATGAAAACCCATAACAAAATAAAGGAATTGAAATAATAAAATATATTTTATATATAAAATAAAGTTAAAATAAATTATTTGTTGCTTACATTTTATTTGCTCATTCCTCATTAAAATTCAATAACCCATAACAATGCAATTTTTTAAACATTGTTCAATTTTGGGTTATAAACAGTATTTTATTAAATGACAAGGGCACGTCATAGGTAATAAAGATAATTCTATGTTAGAGATAATAAAAAAGATATTATACCTTTTAGATATTAATAATCTATATGGCTTTATTCTGGGGCTGTTGGGCTTGACCAACTAAACTTTTTTGAATTGTAAATTTTGTTTTTGATTCAAGAGAGAAATACCTTTATTTTTATATTTTTTGAGAATTTTTATAAGAAAAGTTTTCAATTGTTTTGATTGTCCAAAAAAATAACATTCACGTATAGTAAAATTTGGGACTTAAACTACAGGGTGTTTAAAAGGGAGGAGTACATATAATCATTTAATATAAAAGAACGTTTATTTGCTAATATAAACCACTAGGCTGACATAAATTTGGGAAGAATGATTCATGATATAAGTATCTTTATTGTAACTCTTTTGAAGTCGTTCCTTTCCATCTCAAATCGACCAGGCAAAAAGGGGTAGGTCGTTATTTTTTAACGAATTTTTTTTACAGTTTCTCTACCGAAATCGATGAGACCCGTATTTTTCCTTTTTGCTTAAATTGTTCACCCGTAGGAAATTTTTGAAAAATGGACAAACATCGGTTTTTCTCTTTTTACGAGTGAAATTTTTATTGATAATGCGATAACTTGGCCAAAAATGTTTAGATCGTTGCAATTTTTTTTTTTTAAATCGTAGGTAAATGTTTACCACATGGTTATTGGAAACTTAAGGAATATTATTTATTTAAAATTTATATATGCCGTTGTTTTAAAGATTTTAGATTTTTTCTTATAAATATATAAAAAGGATAGTTTGTTTTTAACTTTTATTTACGTTTACTTAAAAATAAGAATATTTGAATTTTTAATAATAGTTTTATAAAAAATGCAATTGGACATCGACCATAGTTATTGAACGCACAATTTTTATATAAACATAACAACTTTACATCAAATAACATAAATTGTTAAATATATAAAGATAAATTGCTGTTTTAGGTAATTTTTTTTATTTCGTTTTTGTAAATATCATATAATTCATATATTTCTTTCTCGGATTCCTCATCCCTTTTCTGGATTCTGAAGGTAACTACTAATTCCTTGGTCTGACTTCTGAAACAGTTTGTTGCAAATATCATTAAGTGTGGTATCTCTAGTTTGTGAAGCATTTATAATGTTTAGTCCGGCACAGGATGATTAATATATATATATATATATATATATATATATATATATATATATATTAATTGTATGCTACGACACCCACATAATCGATGTACAATCAAACACCCACACTTATATACGTATAAAATAGAAGGATCACATGTTGCTGTATTAGCACCCATGTAAATCTTGTCTATGAGGCACCAAAATGTATGAACTTGTGATATTGCGTGTCAAACTGACACCCTACAGCGTTGCCAAGATATTTCACTGTTTTATACGTATAAAACAATATTGTCAAAATGGCACCCCCCTTAATATTGGTCCTAATGACACCAATATGTATGAACTTGTGATATAACAGGTCAAAGTGACACCTTACAGATATTCATAAACATAACATATTTTTGGAAAATAACGGTTTTATACATATGACACGAAATTGTCAAAATGGCACCCTCGTTAATCGTGGTCCGAATGACACCAATATCTATGACAGGTCAAAGTTATTCTTACACGAAATATTCCTTTCTTTCTTTTTAAATCTGCAATTTAAGCCAAAAAAAACCTGAATGCACGTAGTACACGAACGCCCTTATTCACGGTGTGCCTGAACAAGTCTCAGGTCACATAAAAATGTCAACCAAAACGGATTGTATTTTTGGAATATGCATGTATTCCTCACTCCAAAACCATATTTTTCAAAATCCTAGCTGATCCTTTTTTTTATTTTTTTTGCAATTTTCTGGATTTTTTGCAAAAATTGATGAAGTGACTCCGCTAAAATATTAGTATGACCTATCAATTTTCAATAAAGAATCAAGAATTAAAATATAAAGAGAGAGTCGAAAAAAAATCATTATTTATATTTTTTTATAAATCAATAAATTTTCTAATTTGACAAGAGACTATAGTCTTAGTATTAATAAAAATTAAATTATTATAATAGTTATCTTGTAATTTATTAAACAATAATGATACCTGAAATTACTTTACAGAAAACTATGAATCATTTACAAATTGTTAGAACTAAAGTCTACTACAGCTTTTTTTAAATGTTCATCATAATCAGGATGTTCAAGTAAATTGATTTTATACTATTCCAGTATTTTATAAACTCGCGAAGGATCGACTCCCCAGCCTGCTCAGACCACCGTTCAAAAATCTAATACAATCTTCCGTAGACAATCTTCGTTAGACTAATAGAAGCATTTTTGCGTGAAGATGATGAATTATTAGATTTTAATACTCGGGTCTTGAGAACTAAAGAAACGACTTGTTCTTGAGTTTTCGGCGTAAATTTTTTTATAATATTGACGACATTTCCATGTCTTTCTGAATTCGTACATATATGTTTTTTTCCTTTACCAACTCTTGTCAAACAGATTTTGCCCAAAATAATTTTATTTTAGGTATGCTGGGCCCTTTTCTTCTTGTTTTTTGTATTTCCCCTTCCTCGTGTTACCTTTCTTTGAATCTTGCTGTTGTGCATATTCTGCACGCACACACCTCATTTTGGATATTCCTAGTAATAACATTTTCTTTTTAAAAGTCTGGCATTTTCACCATCTTGCATGTTTTAATATTTTTTTCATATTCGCAAAGAGTATGCCTGCATGTACCGCAAATTGCAGTTAAAAACTTGATATTGCTTAGACTATATTTCAGATTACTAAATTTAACAAGCAATCTTTCCAATCTTGCAGTTATTACAAACATGCTATTGGGCAGGGATTTTCCAAAAATTATCTTTTCACCGCATTGGGCACAGACTATACCTCTATTTTCTTCAAATCTTGCGTTTGTAGTCATTTTTATTTCAAAAACTTCAAAATTATCGAGAGAATAATTCTCTATAACCAATAGATACTATTAACTGTCACTGATAACAAATTACTGCATATAAGTTGTTTTTTCGCTGAGGCATGGTCTACTTTGTTTAAAAAACTGCTTAAAGCTGTGTAAGCGTGTTAATAAGGTAATTGCACCATTGCACCTTTTTTCTTGCAGCCATATTTTGAATAGCTACAGAAATTAAAATGTAATTTAAACTAGAGATTCTCTAGTTTCATTCCGATCTTATAGGATTTTGAAAAATATGGTTTTGAAGTGAGGAATAGATGCATATTCCAAAAATACAATCCGTTTTGGTTGACATTTTTATGTGACCTGAGACTTGTTCAGGCACACCGTGTATTGTGGATATATGGGCCACTAAATAAAAATATGTTTTAAGTACTCTTAGTTTAATAACATAAACATGTTAAAAAATAATACAAAAACACATAGGTACGTAATTAAAAAAGGTACATTAATAAAAGAGTACTAAATAATTACAAAAATTATGTAAATAATAATTAAAATAATACTTAAAATTAGGGTAAATATTATATTGTATTCCCAAATTTAACAAATGGGTCGGTAGTATTTTTTTATTTGCGTACATTAAAAACATATTTTTTTTAAACATTCAGATTTAACATCTAAAAATGTACGGGTCAATTTCAATTACTGTTACCTTTCATTGAACAATTTTAAATTGTTAAAACGGTTTAAACCCTTAAAGTCAAAAATACACCCCTGTTATTTAATTAGCGGATGACTAACATAACACATAATAATTTTAAATTGTTTGTTGCTGTTGCATGTAAACCAAATTAAAATTTTAAAAACACGCAAAAAAATAAAAATTAAAAAATTAAATTATAAAATCTAATTAAATTGTTTTGTTGCGATATTTTATTTATACCTACTTACCTGCCAATTCCCATGTAAAAAGTGTAAAGATTTGTCAAATTTAGATTAATTAAAAGAGCCCCACTCTATTTGGCATTGCAAAATATAAAGTGATACGTTTATATGTATACACTGCGCGTCAAAATTAACGCATAATAAGTAAAAAAAGTCTTAACTCTAAAACGCCTTTACTAATCTTTATGAAATTTAAAAAAAAATACTTCATCTTATACATGTTATATATGTTCGAGGGATTTTCAAGAAAATATGTTTAAAGTCCTTTTATTTAATAATAAAAAAACGTTTGAAAAATAACTTTTAGGGATTTTTTTTTAAGTAAATAAGAAATATGCTGTTAAAGACCGTATTTTTATTAGTATACCCTGAAAATTTTGTACAAATCAAACGAACATTAACGAAGATACAGTGCTTCAAAGTCGTTAAAAATGACCCCTTTTTGATTATTTTGCTGAAAAGTGGTCATTTTTGATGACTTTAAAGGGCTGTATTTTCGTTACTATTCGTTTGATTTGTACAACATTTTTAGGGTATACTTACAAAAATAAGGTATTTCTCAGCATATTTTTTATTTACTTAAAAAAATTCCCTATAAAAGTTTTTTTCGAGCGTTTTTTATTATTAAATTAAAGGGCTTTAAGGATATTTTCTCAAAATACCCTTGAACACGTAAACTGAGATATAAGTTAAAGTATTTTTATCCAAAATTTTATAAAGATTGGTGAAGGCGTTTTAGAGTTAGAATTTTTTTACTTATTATTATGCGCGCAGTGTATTTATCAAATACAGGGTGTTTCAATCTAAAGTTTCCACACCGGTTTTCACACGTCAATTTTTTATTTAGGGGCAACAATTTATTTTAATTTTTAACCCTACAACCTTAACGTCTAAGCGGCAAAAAGACCTATCAACTATCATCCCCACCTAGGAATCAAGATTGAGGGGTTGTCAATA